AAGCTGGGCTTGGATAGAAGTTGGCCAGAGAGGAACAGGCCCCTGCTTAGAAGGAAAAGTTACCGTGAGATTCTTGGCATTTTGCTGAGCTTCTTGGTGGCTGGGAGCCCTGAGTGCCAGGAGAGGAGTCACTGGGCACCCATCTGCAGTCGCTGGCAACAGATTCGGGCCTGCCTTGGCCTCCTGAGATGTGTTACTGTAAGAGCCGATCCCTCGGCTGTCTGCACTGTCTTCATGGTTCCCTTTATGGTTCTCACGAAATTAGGAGTTTACAAGAATGGTTTTCAGGTTTTTTTTTTTTTTTCTGGTGCCCTTAAAAGGTAGCCAGGGCTTTCAAGTTTAGAACTTTGAAGGCTGTTTTACGGTTTGCTTGGATCCCTTGTATGAAATGTGTGTGGGTGTATGGGTGGGTATGCCTGCTTCCTACGCTTCCCTGCAGCTTCCAGTTTGCAACACAGGAACTCACCTCCTTGTGGGGCAGGTCGGACTGGGAGTGCGTTCCCTGCTTCCCATCTTGCTTTCCTGCTTGTTCTATGTCAGTACTGTGTGTGAGGTAAAGAAAGGGGGGGGGGGGGGAAGGAGCAGACCAGAGCCCCACCCCCACCCCACCCCGAAGCTGGGGGGTGGAGACAATGCCTAGTGGTGCTGCTGTCCTGAGAAACCTTGGCTGGTTCCCTCTGTCCCCTGCTGGGCCTGCTTCTTGGGCCTTTGCTTTCTGTTTTTGTGTAAGCTAGTGATGCTGCAGGAGTAGATGTGAGTCCAGGCTGTGCTAATGGGGGGGGGGGGGCGGTGATGGGAGACCTCAGTGGCTCAGGCTCTCTGCTTGGTGGATGAGACTTCCTTCAGACGTCCCAGTAAGCACATTTTCTCTTCAGGATCTTACCGTCGGGTGTGAAGCCCACAGCTGTCTGCATTTCAGCCCACCAGAGGAGTATTTATGTTCTTCTTGGCATACAGCTGAAACTCCTGGCCTGCCGTCGTCATTCTTTCTCAAACGAGTAGCCCAGTTCTCTCAGAATGGGTTGGGCTCCTTGTCTCCGAGGTGCAGTCTGCGGATGCTTGGCTGGGCCCTCTGTCTGTGGGAGCATGCGGGGAGGAAGCAGAATGGGACTAGAAGGGGCAGAGAACCTGTTACATCCTCCAAAGGCACACCCCTCTCCACCTCTCCACAAGACCCCGCGCATTAAGCTTCCAGAACTTCTCAAAGGAGTACCACCACCAGCTGCGGGCTAAGTGTTCAGTACCCGAGCCTGCCAGCCTGCAGGGAACGTTTTCTGTTCCGATCAGAACACACACGTTTGTGCAGACTGGTGGACAGTGCACAGTGGTGGACAGTGCCGGGCCTAGAGACCCCAGTGTTCTCAGCTGGCGCAGTGGGGTAGAACCTGCAGTCTGGCTGGGCCCTTTTGTCAAGTCGCAGGGCCCAGCAGTGGCTGACAATGCCTGCAAGTCAGAAGGTCCCCAGGGGAAGAGTAGGCTGCACAGCTGGGGCCTCCCTTTAATCCAGCTTTTCTCTCTCAGTCCCCGTCACCCCAGCTTGGCCCTTGGGCTTTCTGCCTTAGTTTCTGGGTCCTGGGCAGAAAACACCAAATACTGGGGGCTGTATTCATTCATTTCCTGGAATGTTCTCAACCCTTGCCAGAAAACTCTCCTCTCCCAGCCTGAGGGGCCAGCCTATTCTAACAGGCGCTACTGGGGACTCCTCTGGAGGGGCTCACTGAGTACCAGAGTTCAGAGGCTTGCAGAGAGGGATAGGGGATGGCTGGACCACTCTGAGCTCTCATTCCCTCCAGGGAAAGGAAGATGGGCTGTTTCTCCCGGTGTGACTAAGGCTTAGAGTGGGTGGCAATCGAAGGAGTGGGTGGTGCCGCCGAGTGCCAGGTGCCTGCTGTCTATCTAGATGAGGGATGCTCCCGGAGGACCTCAGGGAGAATGCTCATAGATGTTGGAGATGAATTCTCTGAGGATGTCAGATTTCCATGGACTCCTTAACAGCACTGTCCATTTTTCGTGAGCATTTGGACAGATGTTGCCAAGCAGGAGGCTTACCAGCGAACCTGGGGACTCCTCACTGTTATAATTTAAAAAACAGTGCACAAAAGACGCCACGCAACAGAGCTCACATAGACGGTTGTTTTTGTTTTTGTTTTTGTTTTTGTTTTTTTTTTTTTGCTTTTGCTTTTGTTTGTTTTAATTGGGGGAAAGGGTTTGGGGGAAAGGGACAGGAATAGCAGAAGAGAAGGGGGTGGTTAGGCAGGGAAGCAGGGAGGAAGAGAGATGGAAGGTGGACGGGGCCCTTTCAAAAGGGAAGGGGAATGTGCACAGGGGATGCTCTTAGTGGAGGCGGCTGAGGACGCACCCTGTCAGGACCCCAAGGGCAGGCCAGTGCAGATGCCTGATTACTAACACTCACCTGCATGGTAGGTAACGATGCTGGAGGCATGAGCAGGGTCGCACGGGCAGTGTGAGAAGACCCGTGTACCCTGGCTCTGTTTTATAAAATGCAAGATCCAGAGTTTAACGGGATAAGGTCTCGCCCATTCCAACTCATACTTGACGCCCTCACTTGATGTGAAGAACTGTCCCTGCCATAGACACTTCACAGTGGCTGGTGACATCAGGGTGATCTCTCCCAAGCCTTGCTGTGAAGTCTGGGTGAAGGAGAGGGTGCGCAGGGCCTGGCCCTTACCATGTACCCCATCACCACCTCCCACATCCACCCTGTGACACTGCAGACTTCGCGTCCTTTTCTTAATGTGAGTGTATGGATCATCCGGTCCCCGGCGGAGCGGAGGGTGACCCTTGGAGGGCTATGAGGGCGTAGGGAGGCCCACTCAGTGGTGAGTGTGCTTTAGTCTTTAAAGCAGAGCAGGAAATGTCAGCCCCTTCTTCCTGGCACTCACGGAGCAAGCAATGAGCAGGAGCACTATCCTTACCGGTAACTCTGCTGCCTGTGTGCCTCTTCCCAACGAGGGTGGGCAGTGTTGATGCTAATGCCCTCCCAGTGGAGATCCTGGCTTTGAAGGTTAAGTGATTCGCCAGCCATGAGTCACCCTCTAAGTGGCAGGGTGAGGGTTAAATACCACTGCGGATCCCAGGCACTCAGCCTGCCTCACCTTTGCTGGGATGAGGGAGAGCCTGCCTCTCAGTTGGGGGGGCTAGAGAGAAGAGAGAGAGGCCAGGGGAAGCAGGGTGTGTCTCATGCTTGTGGCACATCCCTAACCCAGTGAATACTCGATGGGGACAAGGGACACAGCTGCTGGCCGCCTGAGCTGAGTGACTTCTGTCCAGGTCCAGCACACCAGCTCAGCAGAGCAAGGCATTTCTCAGTCTGCTGTGGAGAGAGCCACACCCCACAGCCCCGTCCCAGAGGAACACGTTTGCAGCACCCAGGTCCTTAGTCCTCACCCCTCAGCCCCATGTCCTGATGGGAGGCTTCCGAATCTAAACCATTTAGGCAACAATTTGTTTTATGCCATTTTTTTCTTCTTTAGCAGAGATGGAAAACCACTGCTTTACACACTAGCCATCTGTGAACAGTGCCCCTTCAGACTTGTCTTTCTCGGACAAAAAGTCCTTTCTCTTAGGGCCTGGGGAGAAAGGCGCTGGAGGATGCGCTTGCTGCATAGGATGAGAATCTGACTCTGGCCCTCATCCACATAGAAAGCCAGGCGTGGTGCATGCTTGAAATCCCAGAGCTGGGGAAGCAGAGGCCAGTGGCAGATTCTGGGCCTTGCTGGCCAGCTGGCCTAGCCTGACCTGTGAGCCTCTGTTTCCAGTGAGGGTGGATGGTGCCTGAGGAGGGGTAGTCAAGGTTGGCCTCTGATCTCCACATGCCCATGTACGCATGTGCACGTGTGTGCACTGGCATGCTTACCCTGTAGCCTGCTCACGCGCCGGATGCCCCTTCTCCTTAGACCTCCTAAACTTGCCGTTTTTGTCTACGCTGACTTTATTTTTTTTTCTGTTCCCTTTTTATGATGGCTTCACTGCTTTCTAGAATTTTCTCCCACCTGAGTGCAAGCTGCTGTCAGGGCCAGGGCCAGTGGGCTGTACGGCCACGGTGCTCAGTTTTAACATGCGCTGGGGTATATCTTCCTTCCTTCCTCACCGTCATCCCCACCTCTGCCCTGGTGCTCCACAGTCTAGACTAAGCTTCTTGAACTCCCTGGCCATTACAGAACCCAGGTGTGGGGGGGTATGTCAACTAGGTGTATAAACCAAGTATGTACTCATGAGCTATACGTTTATTTAACACCGTTCTTGTGCATGTATGATTTTACCACTTACTAAAGACTGCAGCACTAATGGAACAGAGATGCTTGCTGCCTTAATTCGAGCCAGGTGCGTGCTGGTTCGATCCTTACACCATGTGCAATGTCTGTGACCTGGAAGCAGGAGCTGCTTGGAGGAAAGCTTCTTATTGGCTGCCTCCTGCTGGCTTGTTCAGCTTCCTTTTGCCTAGGACGCAGGCCCACCTGCCCGGGGTTGGCACCTCCCACCCTGGTCTGTGTCTTCTTCCTACATCATTAAGAAAACGCCCCACAGACGTGCCAACAGGCCACTCTGTTAGAAGTAATTCCTCAACCAGCTTTCCTCGTCCTACACGACTCCAGCTTGTGTCAATTCGACAAGAAATGAGGTAGTACCATGATAACATACAGCAGTCTTGGCTGTGAGCGGGCTGCTGCGTGGTGCCGAGTGTTCACTGTGTGTTCAGAACCCAGGCTGCTGTGGAGCCGCGCAGCACTACATGGGCAAACACTTCCAGCAAACCTTGCATTTGTTACCCATCCGTGTTTGAGATTTTGGTCATTGCATATTCAGAAACCTTTTACCGCCAAAGGTTCTTGATGCCCATATGTTGACCTGTGATGCTGAGACTCAGTGCAGGAAACTTTGACTTGGGCAACACTTAAGATCCCCCAGTCAGTGGGGACGGGGAAGGGGGTGCGTGCCCAGGGCTTCATCCATTCGGATCTTTCTGCTTGGCTCCCCAGGTACACAGATAAGCTGCTTCTCCCCAAGTTCTTTCTCCTGGCGACAGGCTGCCTTTGTGGATTCATACTGCTGGGCTGCCGTGCAGCAGAAGAGCTCCCTGCAGAGTGAGTCCGGAAACCTCCCACTGTGGCTGCACAAGGTAAGGAGTTGGAGATGCAGCCACGCCTGCTTTATAGATAGGGGACTGGAGGCCAGGAAAGGCGTCTCGTCCCCTCCCGCACCAGCCGTGCAGGGGTGAGTGGTCAGCCACACTGCAGGAACTTCGGCAGGGACTGTATCAGATGTCTCTGGAGCAGATGAGAAATTGGTGCTCTTTAAATTTTAGCTTTTTAGTGACAGGCATCTGGTACATAGTTGTTCCCTTTGCATCCTTAATTCCCCTGCAGAATGTGTCACCCATGCTGGGCCCTCCGTACCTTTTGGACATCTGAATAAGCAGAGCTGGGGTTTGAACATTGTCTGGAGCCTTGTTTGTGACACATGGGGTCACTTGGAAAAGTAAAGAATAAGATATATTGAGTTGCTCCTGGTCACTGTGTTGCTGGACACCCAGAAACCTGGCCACAAATCCTGGTACACAGCTCTTGACGGGTTTCTAGTGGGAAGGGGAGAAACTACCCAAGAGGCGTTCTTAACCATGCTGTTGCGATTGGAGAGCAGAGGGGCCTGCAGGGCACTATGGTGGAGGTAGGGAGCTTGCAAGTGTGTGCAGAAGAGCACGCCTTCAGTCTTCCCTGTGAGCGGTGGTGTGACGCCTTCAGTCTTCCCTGTGAGCGGTGGTGTGACTGAAGCCTTCAGTCTTCCCTGTGAGCGGTGGTGTGACTGACGCCTTCAGTCTTCCCTGTGAGCGGTGGTGTGACTGACGCCTTCAGTCTTCCCTGTGAGCGGTGGTGTGACAGCTTCAGCCTTCTGTGAGCGATGGTGTGACAGCTTCAGCCTTCTGTGAGCGATGGTGTGACAGCTTCAGCCTTCTGTGAGCGATGGTGTGACTGACGCCTTCAGTCTTCCCTGTGAGCGGTGGTGTGACTGACGCCTTCAGCCTTCCCTGTGAGCGGTGGTGTGACTGACGCCTTCAGTCTTCTGTGAGTGATGGTGTGACAGCTTCAGCCTTCTGTGAGCGATGGTGTGACTGAAGCCTTCAGCCTTCTGTGAGCGATGGTGTGATGACACCTTCAGTCTTCTGTGAGCGATGGTGTGACAGCTTCAGCCTTCTGTGAGCGATGGTGTGACAGCTTCAGCCTTCTGTGAGCGATGGTGTGACTGACGCCTTCAGCCTTCTGTGAGCGATGGTGTGACTGACAGCTTCAGCCTTCTGTGAGCGATGGTGTGACTGACAGCTTCAGCCTTCTGTGAGCGGTGGTGTGACTGACGCCTTCAGTCTTCTGTGAGCGATGGTGTGACTGACACCTTCAGTCTTCTGTGAGCGATGGTGTGACTGACGCCTTCAGCCTTCTGTGAGCGATGGTGTGACTGACAGCTTCAGCCTTCTGTGAGCGATGGTGTGACTGACGCCTTCAGCCTTCTGTGAGCGATGGTGTGACTGACGCCTTCAGCCTTCTGTGAGCGATGGTGTGACAGCTTCAGCCTTCTGTGAGCGATGGTGTGACTGACACCTTCAGCCTTCTGTGAGCGATGGTGTGACTGACAGCTTCAGCCTTCTGTGAGCGATGGTGTGACAGCTTCAGCCTTCTGTGAGCGATGGTGTGACAGCTTCAGCCTTCTGTGAGCGATGGTGTAACAGCTTCAGCCTTCTGTGAGCGGTGGTGTGATGACACCTTCAGTCTTCTGTGAGCGATGGTGTGACTGACAGCTTCAGCCTTCTGTGAGCGATGGTGTGACTGACAGCTTCAGCCTTCTGTGAGCGATGGTGTGACTGACGCCTTCAGCCTTCTGTGAGCGATGGTGTGATGCCTCGTGGTTTCTCTCTGAGTGACAGTGTGATGCCCAGGTCCTTTCTGTGATGATGGACACTTGAGTCTTCCCCTGTACACACAAAAGCAGGTTCTATTGGCCTTTCCTTCTCCTGCTGTTTTTTTTGCCCATCATAAGAAACAAGTAGAACATTTGTATCTTCTGGTGCTCACATGTACTGTGGGGAACACGCGGTGTCTTCTGCGGTGCCAGAGCTGACCACAGGCCCTCTGCTGCTGTGACTCCTCTGGATGCCCAGGCTGCCCTGTTCTCTGGAAGATCCCTCTCCCTGCATGCTGAGTCAGCTGCCTCTGACCCTGTCTGCCCGGCACCTGTTCACTGAGCATTTGGCGTGGAGGCGGCTGGGTTGGGCTTTTCCCTTTGATTGCAACCCGAGTGCTGGGCGGGTCCTTGTCAGCTTTGAGTGATTTACAGGTCACATTACGAGGGCCTTCAGCACATAAGTGAGCACACCACAGGGGATCAGAACCTTTGTAAGTCTCAGTCCATGCCGATATAGTTTAAGTCCACGGTACAGTGTCACCGTGGAATGCCATGTTGTTCAGTCTCTGGGGTGGCATTGGCTGAACCTCAGATTGTAGCTGGGGTGGCATAATGTAAGCAGATTGCTTTTTCCACAAGAAATGCTAAGGAAGCCTGGAGAGAGTCCCAGCTCCTCATATTTCAGTCAAGGAAGCAGTATGGGTGGCTCCCTGTGCCGTGAGACCCCCCCACCCCGGGGCTGTCTTCTGGTGCTGAGAGACAGTGCTCGCCTGGACACTGGTTCTGAGCATCTGAGAGAGTGCTCACCAGGCTAACAGGGCTGGGGACAGGTTGAGACTGAGACTTGCCTGGCTATCACTCAGGCGTGGTTGGGCCTTCCCTTGGGAAAAGGGACTCCTCCTCCCCGGGTTAGAGTCCTGGTCGGAATCACATCAATGCCAGGGGAGTGAGTTGGCTTGGGCATTGACGGTGTTTCTAGGTTACCTGCTGCTGAAGTGAGGCTGAGCCCTCTCTGGAGGAAGGGGACATTGTCCAGCGCCTCAGATGTGACCTGTCCTTTCCATGCCGGGTGTGTGGCATTCAGCGGACGCCCCACAATGCAGAGGAACCCCGAGAAAAGTCACAAACAGAGGCAGGCCTACAGGAGGGCCTGACCAGACAGACCCATTGGTGTTTCTTAGCGATGGACTCAGAGTGGACATATACGGAGGATGTCACAGGGAACCAGAAGGGTCAAATGGAGCTTTAGAAGCTGCAGACGGTGACATGGAGTGACATCCTTTTAGCTGATGTTGATCATCGAGGGCCCTCCTTATGCTAGGGTGCATGCTCGGCAGCCAGGGGCCACAGATGGCGTGTCGGATTCTCCGAGTTCACTGGTGGCAAAACGAACGGGCAAGAGAATAATTAGAAAGTGAGACAGAAAAGGGGAAGTGTGGTCTCCCCAGAAACCAAGGGACGGGCTTGCAGACCAAGCGGTGAGCTCTTTAAATCCTGCTGCTGCAGGGGTGGAGCCAATCCTTCTGCATCCTTAATCGGTGGTGCTCCTGGCAGCCAGGTGGTCCTGAGTGAAGAGTGAGGGTATGTGGAAGGGATGATGGTGATGCACACACGCGCACACACGCGCACATACACACACAGACGCACACACACTCACGCGTGCACGCACGCACGCACACACATGGGCACATGCACGTACACACACACTCACACACGTGCACGCACACACACGCGCACATACACACAGACTCACGCACACACATGGGCACACGCGCACGCGCACGCACACACATACACACACGCACGTGGGCGGAGGTAACCGGCTGGGTGGGGAAGGCTGCCTGTGTGAGAATGCTGAGAAGGAGCTGCAATCAGAGGCTGGAGAAGAGGCAGGCAGAGATGCTGAACCAGCAAGCACAGACACTGCCTAGGTTCCCAGCCAGGGGCCGCCACCCCAGGACACCCTGCACATTAGATATTTACATCGCAATTCCCAACAGTAGTAAATCACAGTAGCAATGAACACATGTAGAACTGTACTAAGGGTCACAGCGTTACGAAGGTTGAGAACCTAGGGAGTGTGAGGCATTCCCTAGGAGATGTGTGCCCTGATGTGGAACAGGTGGCCCTGGCTGACTACCGTGGAGGTGAGGTCCGAGAGAGGAGGGTTTGGGCTGTGATTGCCGAGCAGCCGCGGGAGGAGAGGGAGCCGCTGTTCCTGAGCAGAGGGCTTGGTTCTGAGCGTTGGTCCTCAGCAGTGGCGAGAGGAGAGGCTGGGAAAGCCTGTGCCGCCCGGTTAGGATGAGGGCGGCAGGGAGAGGCACCAGCCAGGCACAAAAGGAGAGTTTAGGTTGGGAAGGAAGACAGGCTGGGTAGGGAGACTTGTGAGTCGTGGCGACCATTAGCCAGGCTCAGGGAAGGTTCTGTCGGGACATAAAGGGAGAGAAGGGAAAGTGTAAACCGCAAACAGGACTCGCTGTCGACTCGCTGTCATGCAGCCAATCACAGGGTGACTCCTCAGGTCAAGGAAGGAACTAGAGAGCCTATGCCAGGGGTCAGCAAACTCAACCGGACAGTGAAGTCCCAGGCCCTGCTGAAGCTGCCCTGGAGCGACAGGCAGCATCCCTGGTGATTCGGGAAGGGGGCATTCCAGGTGTCTGAGGAGCTGACTGGGCATGGAGGCTGAGGATGCAGGAAATCTGAGTAGCCGGTGGCTCCCTGGCCCCTGGGCCATGAGTAGATAAGGTGTGGTTCACAGAGCGTTGGCATCTGTTAGGATTTGTGTGTACGCTGGGAGACTGGACCTATAGGGTGGGTGTTAGAGGGGATGGGAGCTCTTTCGGTTTCTTCCTGTTGCTGTGGTAAACACTGACCTAGGCGCCATGGGCTGGGGGAGACTTGATTGGCTTACACTTCCGCGTTATAATCTGCCACTGAAGAAACGGAGGGTGAGAACGTGGAAGGAGCCACGGAGGAGCACGCCTTACTGCCCTGCTCTCGGGCTTACGCTTAGCTAGCTTTCTTATGCCACCTAGGACCGCCTGCCCGGGGAATGGCGTTGCCCACAGCCGGCTTGTAAGGAGTAGGTTTTCCGCCAGCCTGGTCTCATTTTGGCACCAGCCCCAAATAACACACTGAGACACTGTATTAGATATAATGCTGTTGGCCTGTTACTTGTTTCTCATTGGCTAGCTCTGTCTTAAGTATTAACCCATTTTTATTAAT